TATATATATATATATATATAGGTTCAATCCAACGACGATAATAAGGACACTATAGAACACAAGCGTATATGCAGTAACACATGGCCGGCACAACCAATATTCCGGACATATGTGCATTCAATGCTAAACCGACATGTATCTCAATGCTAAACCGACATGTATCTCGTTGGGTTGGACCAGTCCAACTACTTACACGACTACATGAGTCATGCAAAGCGACAAAACATCCATATCTATACGCAGAACATTCAGAGGGCGGCACAACAGGTTAACAAAACTCGGGTACTTTGTGAGATGACTTTGAGTGCATACAAGCATACACTAGCACCCCATTAAAATAGATTACAAGCGCATACAAGCCTACACTATAGAAGCCTACACTATTACAGCCTACACTAGCACCTCATTAAGATTACTGCCAAGTGCATACAAGCCTACACTATAAAAGCCTACACTATTACAGCCTACACTAGCACCTCATGAAGATGACTTCGGCACACCTTGTCAGACAGCGCAACGAATCCAGTGGCAGGAGTGTTGTTAGATTAGAGCAGTGAAGCGACTGCAGCTGGTACATCTTCGACAGCATAGTCATGCCTGAGGGTGCCTTTATTTGCACCTGGGCATGCACGGCAGTAAGTATGAGGTTAAAGCGGCTACGAGTCACACACACAACAACGATACGGGCAAGGTAAATCGTGGTACGTAAATTAGACAGCAAGCGTATAAGCATCGAAGAACAACAGATGCTATTACTACAGTCAGAAACGTTTGGGTTTATGGGCTTGTATTGTCACGCTCGTAGATGACATACTTGGAGATGCTCTGGCTGTCTGCACGAACTCGCGACGTATTAACGCGGCATCTACTACGTTGACACAAACACGACAAACGTACGCGTTCATTCTTACTACTTGGCGCATACAACTGATTTGACACGTGGCGAGAGAATCCCAATGTGGGAGTCCTCTCTCATATCACGTGCTCGTGTAGTCCTGTGTGACTTTTGGTTACAGCGATGCCATACACATTGTGGTGTATTGCATAGTGTAAGCAAAAGCTCCATCGAGCTGGAGTACAAATCAGCTTGCACTGCTCAGTACGTATGGCGTTTTCATTCGCGTCTGCTACATGGTGGCACTATCGGGTGAGTACCTCATTTCTAACTGAGTGAGTAGAGACTTCTCTAGCACAAAAACTATATCGTATCGTCCACCCCAAGCTAGACACCGGGACTGTACCAAGCACATAAGCTAGAAATTAAAACATTTCACGACCACATCACTAACGTCGGGATATTCATCGGAAATACTCTGCAGCTGATGAGCAATGGGTGTGGATATCCTGTGTCACACACTTGTGCATGACTTTCGTATGGTCGAAATATTGCCCAACTGATGTTATTTCACATCTAAGCACTTATGCACACATACATCCAAAATTCACTACTACACGCCAGTGAGTATAGCCGTCCAAATGTTTTCACAAGCGACTGTCCAACGGTACACTTCACGCCAATACCCCAATGAACACATGGGACCAAGTAGATATGGAAAAGACAATCACAAGGCACAGCTCACGACTATAAATCAGTGAGAGAACATACGTCCAAGTGCCGGATAGTGCCAGCCCAGGCCTCAAATCTACGGCCTGTCGCGACAAAGACTGTGTCTGCTTGCCACAGACCCAGACATGTGCGTCTGAGTGCTTTGCACACCGTGCTGCAAGTTAATATGGTTTGTGCATCGGTGCAGCACAGGATCTTCGCCAGTAACTCTGGGGGCAGGTTTAACAAATGCCTGTCTGTTCCTGTGAATGTGTAGCGAGTAGTTATTTCAAACACAGTTTCGAGCATATATAACGCACAACTGTGATTTCTGCCAGCACCATCGCCCATCGTTATGGCCTGCGTATGTTTCTAATGGCCACTCGTCCTTGTGGTATACAGAGATAGATATTAATTATATGCTGATGACAGACACGGGTGAGAGAGATACAATAGGGCATTACCTTAAAACTACAGACTGTGAGTCTCAAATCATTATGGTGTTGCATTTTACCTGGAGACAGAAGCTCAATGTGACACTCGAAATAAGACTGCGTTTCAGCGTAAACAATATTAGATACACCACTCATGAGTATATGCTTGAAATACATATAGCTGACACTGAGGGAGTACAAAGTAGATAGTGAGTCCAATATTTTTGCACTTATCTGGTCAAGCTGATATATGTGACGATACATGCACAGCAAGTAGAGAATGTACCCTTCATACGTATACTTACATGCAATGTCAATTTTATTTGACAGTAGCAACATCAATATAAGACTACTGTCCGGTTCCCATCACAGTGCAAGTATACATATTCACTTTAGATGCATGCATGTGTACACACCCAAAACTATTTATGCGTACACATTTGAACATGCTATCCCATAATTACCTGCCCTACTCAGCGACATCTCTGTCACCATACGGGTGTTCGAGCGTTTGTTCCTCGACACCCGACTGGTCCTACTTAGCAGACGACTCAGAGTTCTTTGTACCATATGCCACTTTCTTCGCTCCACATCGCTGGGTCCGATTGTATCATCATTACCCTTTACCATTTCACCGCTACTCCTAGATCTCTCAGCGGCATTACTCTGCCTGAACGATGGTTGCGTGTGCGTGTGCGTATGTGATGCTTGCGTACTTGTGTGTGTGTGTGTGTGTGCGTGTTGACGTCGTGCTGAACAGTCTTCCGTAGAATTACTACTACTAATGTCCGAGTTTGCCCGTACTAATGTAAGGTCACTGAGACTATCGTGTGAGTGCAAACGATTCAATACAGAAGCAGAGAAGGGATCATACGTCCCAATAGACGACGTGCGCATCGTCAAGTACTCGTGATTCAATTGAGCACAGCGAACTCACAATACTGTCTAGAATATGTGGAACTTCTATCACAATGTGCATGTAGCAAAGTATTCTACTAGGCCCTTTTGTATGCTCGCCGTGGGTCGGATAGGCTGATAGGCTGATAGGCTCACGGTAGTTTACGTAGAATATGCTGAAGTCTTCTGGTGATACATGCCTTTGTAGGTTTCAAAATAATTGGTTGCAACTATTCAGATATATGGAGACCGATATCATGAGATGATATTGCTGTCGCCGATACGACGCGCGTGTCCTTGTCGCAATGACGCTAGGGTCTACACTGTAACCCACTTCTATACGATATATACCAATTTTAAGTGTTGTATTAACGATGTGTATGAGAAAATGTCATTGGAATGAGACCTACAACATGTTATTTGTAACATTACATGCACTTCTTCATGATTGAAAAAATATCACAGTAATGCCCTCTCTCTCTCCTACTCGTTCTTAGTAAAGTGATAATTATTATAAATACTTTTACACTTTGCAGCGTTATTACCTGACTGGTGACAGTGGTGCTTCTGGTTTAGAATAAAAGCTGTTCATGCTTTTCAGCTTTTGCCGTTGTAGTAGGCCGTAGGCCCGTAGGGTGCAGTGTACGCGCCTTGTTGTATATAAACGTTTTGGATTGGCAGAATTTATTGCCTTTTGCGGTAAAATTTGGCGGTCAGAGTCAGAGATTACTTGATATTCGTATATTATTTCAAGAAAATAATCACAAGATGTGAATCAAGTTACTCTCTCTAAAGAGAGAGTAGTCGAACCAAGCGATACCATTAGTTGAAATAAAGAACGGATACTAAAACGACATCCATCCAAATTCCAAAAAATGTAAAGCATAAACAAACATTTTTGTTGTTGTTATTTCTTTAAAAAAAACCCCGTAAAAGATTTATCACCCTCTGCCGCGGGTCACGGCTCCCTGTTCCTTGACTCCTGCCTAAGGCCTCAAGCCCCAATATGCCCGCCCAATGGCTCTTGCCGGCCTGCCCGGCCTGCCCCCTTTGGTGGGGGGTGGTGGTGGGTGACTGGGCGACTGCCCCGGTGGCCGGTGCCCCCTGGCAGTCTGAACTCTGGGCCCTGGCACTGCGGCACAGTCCCCTACAATAAACAAAACAAAAACAAAAACAAACTTTGTTATAGTCCAATGCCTTTTTTATTACTTAAATTAAACCTATTTTTGTTTTCTTTTTAAAAACAAATACAAAATAACATTTATGTATTTTTATTTCTATTTTTATTAGAAATAGTGTTCTCTCTGTCAGTCTGTCTCTCTCTTGTGAGAAATTTTCTCTACAGTAGAGGTCTAGACTAAGTTATTTTTAAATATTATAAATAGATATTTACTACGGATAGTCGCTCAGTCGGAGACTCGCCACGGAACATAAATATATATTTAAATATTTACCCACTCCTAAGTCCCAACTCCCAAGTCCCATCTCCCTTGTTCGTTTTGTGTCATGTGATAATAAAAAAAGCAACAAATACATTTTTTTTTTAATCCCATCCAACTACCAAGCTAGGGGATAAAATCGGGACGAAAATAACGAAGCGTTCCTGATTACATAGCTACATCTGGATTTCTATTCATTCTCAATATTAATAATAATAATAAATTTGGGCATATTTCAAGGTTAATTATATCATTATGATCTGTGAAGACGCCAAGGTCGTAGTACGAGTAGAACACCTTCTATGCTTAGGAGTCTAACACTACATCGGAAACCTACAAAACGCGATTATTGGGTCTAAATATGCATAATTAGTAAAGTTGCAATGTTGTCACATACAATTATTGTCCAAACAATATCGTATATGCATTCTTATAACGGTAATGCAACCTACAGCTGCTAAAATCGAGAAGAAGTGTGTTTAAATTTGACTTTTTGTCCAAATTCACTACATGTTCATCCACAAACGATTAGAATCATACCATTATGGCTTAGTTATGGCCATGTAAGTATAACGAAGGTCTGAAAATCATAGCGAAGCTATATATTTGGATACGCTCACCAAAGGGGGGTCATTGATTGACAAACAGCACGTGAATGGCGATTTTGAGCAATTATAAAAAGCCATCTAGGCCATAATGGTGGGTTCTGTACTTATAACACTTACATTTTTTTGTATATACGAACTCTTGGAAGGTTCAAACTGCTAATATATGACCTGGAAATCCAAAATTTGGCATGGTTGAAAAGTGCATAATCCTGTTCATACACCAATTCATATCTGCATGATCCCCTTTAGAGCTATCAACTTGGCGCCTCGCAAAAATAATAGTATTTCTTTTAAATGTTTTTCAAAAATGTCTAATATTGGGACTACATCCAAAATCGGATTTATTGAATTAGGTGTACATACTTTGTTAAAATCGAGTCTCTATAGTAGATAAAGGATGGGCGTTAATGTGAATACATCACAGCCCAGTCACCCCCCGTGTAACAGGAGTGACAGCACGAGTCACGGACCACACGGTGAAGCCTGAGAGGGTCCTAAAGTAAAATATGACTTTGCTGTCAAAACAGGAGAAACACGCTATGTTTTCAGTGTTTTGCATCATGAATTCGATTTCGAAAAACACATATGTGCCCATGTACAACAGCTAAATATTAGAGTTTAGAGAGTGCATATAACTAAACGTTGAGAGTGCATATACCTGAACGTTTAAGCATCCTTCGGAAAAAAATTGTATCACGAGCTTCAGTGTGCCTTTTTGGATTCGCTGCCCTATTCTGTCTGTGATTAAGCTTGGACTGCGACTATTTGGATCCCCTATCGTATGAATGTGAGCGCATAGCCGAGGGTTTACTTCCATATAGTAACATATCGATA